GGGTTAGTAAGGTTGATGAGTTATGCATTCATACTGACTCATCCAGAAGATATGCTTGCACATAAATCCATATCGATACTAAGCAGTAACCTAAACGAATAGCAGATCTACAAACGGCCATGAAGATGAGGACAGGGTCTTGATAACCGTAGAAGAGAACGCAACTGCAGGAGAAAATGAGAATATGATCTTAACCACGAGTGTCAAACCCCTACCACGGCTTCGTACTGCTTCGTACTGCTGGTTTGGTGATCGGGTTTCAATCGGACACGTCCATTCAGTGCCTGCGGGGATACTATCTTGAACTGCCAGTCGAGTTCCGAGCCCGACAAACCTGGCCAGGCCATGGGGTCTGTAATACGAGGGTCGGTTGTTCGGTCAGGAACACTTTCCAACACCAAAACAGACACCGAGGGGTCCTCCGATAGGCGATTCGCTACCACCAGGCCTGAGGTGCCCCACCGACGATGATGTAGTCGGCTAGCTTGAGAAGAGGTGAAGTTGAATCCATGATGCCGTTGCGAGGGGCAATGTATCGGTGTGATTTGATAGGTGTTTCAAGCAAGTATACGCAAGTGCGCTGGTGAGTACAATGGTTTAGGGCCAAAGCAGCCTTCTGCCGCCACATTCTTATATACCTGATCTCAATCACACCCAACATTTCCCCAACGCGATGACTGGCCAGTCAATGAAGAGTCACCAACCACAAACACCACAAGCGCCGAGCTAAGGCATCCGCCACAGCTGATTATTTGAAGAAGAAAAGCTGCAGCCCCACGCACATCGCCATCCCCAAGCGAGCGAACAAACCGCCGGCCCATGGTGGGAGCTCCCAACATGAGGTGGTAAGCCGGATCAGGCAACTTTCCTGCCCTACAGTAGGTACGCCCAGCCACCAATTCTGCGCCAGAGTGAGGGAAATGGCGGCTAACAGCAGCTGCCGGAATGCGTTTTACGGGGATGGGACGCCATGGCTTGTTAATTTTGTCTTCTTGCACTGGCTCGAGTAATCGCTGGTTGACCGGATCGAAAATAAGCATCTGCTCGGGCTTGGGATTCAAAATCCAACTGATATTCCCTCTAGTGTGGTTGCTCCCCTGGCCTGGCGCCTACGCATAATCCTGGATGAGACGACCAACATCGACTTTGTCTACAGGTTGTTTCCCGTCGCTCTCGTGAGATTCTTGGAGTTTTGGCTGATGATGATAATTGTTTGTTTGTCTGTCCCAGTTTCCTTGTGATTGTTTTTACGTTGAGCCCTGTTTGTATCGCATTTTGGCTCCTGTGGGAGTGCAGAGGCACCACCACTGGCAGCACACCTTCGGAAAGCTCGATACACCTTCGGAAGCAAGCCAGTCAGCTGGCATGAGGATGAGCTGAAAGTCAAGGCACGGGGAAAGACAAACAGTGTGTGTTCACCTATACAAGGGTAGGAAAATCTCTTGGGTGACGACTCGCAGACAGACAGCGTTAATGTATGTGGTAAAAAGGAGTTTCGGGGGCGTGAATCCCCATTCAAAGCTGCGAACACGTTTTGCAGCCAACCATCAAGGGTGGCTGGGCCCAGACCGATATTGTGGACCCCACTGGCGCTAAATGGCACAACAATCGCTTCACAGCAACCGTATCCGGTTGACGCCGCGCGTATCCTATTGAAGGGATCTGCGTAGTCCAGTCCCAGACCTTGGAGAGTATTGTACCATTTAGGTAGCTGAGGGGCCTGTAGTTCGCTGGTATCGATTGTGGCGCTGGGTATAGCTGTCCCAGTCCACTAGCCATGCTCAGGACTTTGGTCCACAGACCCCCGGCAATTTCTGACAACAGTAATTTTATCGACATACGAAGAATGATGAACTCGGCCCGGCGAGCCAGGTCTTCCCCCGCCAGCTCATATGACGGTCGTAACGAAAGCATAATTTCCACTGGGGACCCTGAATCTGGGATTGTCAGGGATCTACCGATTGAAACCCGAGTGAGTCTCATCTAGCATGCACCTGTATCGCCTTCGGAGTGTGCAGTTAACAAGTTCGACCCTGTATTATATGCTACACAAAGCTACCCGGCAGCGGGAAACATGATCTATTTGTGAACCTGATGCCTTCCGAGCCATAAGTGCGCGAAGAATCTAATGAGGTTCTTCCAACAAGTTTTCAGCATGCTTGATTCAGGAATCTGACTTCCCAGTAGCACGTGTGGAGCCTCTGGTTGATTGCGGTAGTTTCGACTCGGCCGACCTTTATGCCAGTAGGCATGGAATGATCCTATGGGTACGGAGGTAGATCCGAGGGATATTGTACTGGGTGGCTGGCTGCTTCCAAACCGCTGTTTACTGCCTCAACATTGATGCCGATTCTACGCGTGAAAAGGTTAGAAGTAAGATAATAGAATGGTCGAGTTGCTGGCTGATTGCGCAACAATGTCCGGATGTACAGAACATCTTTCTTGCCCGTCTGTATGATCTGCTTGAGTGGCCCCTTCACCGCTCCATTTGTGCAAGACACATGCTGGTTGGTGGATGATCTCGATCTCATATGAGCTCGGGGGCTCCGTAGATGCATAATCATCCACCGAGTATCGTATCCGGCCCGATTCACAGTGTGTTGTGGTGGAGAGGGCTTCCCGCCGGCAGTTCTGCGTGTGCCCCTCTTTAGACCCTGGTCCGGCTCTCTACATGATCTCAAGCCTTAAAAGCCTTAAGCAGAAGATAACTACCCCGCTTTGAAGTCTGCCTATTAACTGTTTTCATGAGTTTGTCCCAATGTAACTACACTTCGCGAGAGTGTGTGACAGTGGCGACATTAAAACGGTGTCAGCCAGCCTTGTCAAAAAGAGCGCAGGCGCGGATTGCGGACACTGTGGGTGATGGGAGTGTAAATCTCTGCATTTCCGATGACACGCGCGATGTAGTGAGATCTACCTCCGGGCCCTCAGAATCAACTGACTGCCACGAAGTAGCAGGATCTTGTCACCAGATCTTTCAAGTGATCATTTGTGGGCAGGCATAGTCAAGAATCTCCGAGGACTAGCACTTTTGCCCAGAGACCATTAACCGCGTTTCGCGCTACACATTTGCTAGCCAACTATCTTACAAACTCCATCTCTTGAAAGCGAGAGGCGACAGTTAATACAGCATTCAACATGCCTGGCCGACCGAGCTAAATGCGAACCATGCCACAGCTTGATGAGATGCCTCAAGAGTTCGAGTGGTTCCACACACAACCTTTCGGGATGTTCATACTATCTCAGAAGACATAGCTGGACTCCTGGCGATCACGTGTGCCTGCACCTACACTTCTGACACCGGACAATGCATTCGTCGGGATCAACCGAGCACCGAAATTCAGCATCACAGCTCATGTTCCTGCAGCAGGATGTGCTGTTTAGTATTTCAAAACACTGCTCCATGCGAAAACATCGTCCGACCGTCTCCTCATGCCGACGTTCCTCCTCCAGAAGTTCAGCATCCTTGTTCGACACAACACACCTTAGTGTTCCAATCTGTTCCAATAAGCGATCCATTCTCTCCAGGCATCCATGCATTAGTCTGATAGAAAAGCCAATCATGAAGTCAGAGGACTTGAACTCGTCCATCAGGATGACAGTAGGTAGTTCCCTGGCAGTCGCCGCAGCCAAGAGGTCAAGCAACCCCTCGTTTGCTGTACAACTTAGGGCAAGTTGAATTGCGGCGGGGAGACTTGCGACCCAGGACTTATCATTCTCAGAGCTCTGGAGCAGGTGCCTAATTTTGGCATTTGTAGCAGTCACGAGTCCATCGATCTGATAATAATCACCAATGGAGTTGACTCGAATATGGTCAAGGATAAGTGTGGCGGTATCTGGGCTCGTGGATGATGGTGATTGGACATCGCAAGGGGTCTCGAAAACGGCTATGGCGTTATTATTTGTTGGCAGGCTGTCATACCCGCCAGTGTAGAGATACTCAACCAGAGCCTTCACAGTCCTGGGCTGGAAGCCGTCCATGTCGATGGTAGCAGATTGGGATTCCTGGATAAGTCCGGGCTCATTAGCCTAATATCTTTGACACTCCCCGGGAGCAAAAATAGTACCTGAAAGTTCCCCTCCACGGCTGCTCTGATTGGAGGAGACTGCAGGCAAACAATGGCCTTGTGAACATTGAAGTACTGTGCATTGCAGACAAACTGGAGGTCACTAAATTCGCCTGAACTCATAATCCGAGCTATGGTACTTTGCAGGTCCAAGCTATGGTTACCGGTCGTGTAAGCCATTTGCGCTGGAGTGAGGAGTCAGTAATCGCGCAATGCTTCTATGAAGGATCAGGCTAGATGAGCTTTGGAAGGGAGCTCTGGTTTTTGTTGGGACATATATAGAGGGGTATCGACCGATCTGACTCGGAGTGCAGGCCCGATAAGTGAAGAAAGGATTTCGTCACAACCTCGTGATGCCGAACATCGTCATATCTTACCCGGGATGTACGAGGTCGGAGAAAAGCCATAGTATACTCACGATACTCCGTTGTGTTTAGGGGCTATTTCTCACCCCGCCATATGCCGCCAGTCACCCCCTTTGGGGGTTATTCTTAGAATTATCAACCCGACCGCTACCTCTCTCATAACTCAGTCACGATCACGATGTCCGAAAGTTGATCACAAGGGAACACTACGCCTCAGTGTTTCTAGCCATCGTTGGCGCCGTCTTCGATGATGCGTCCGTCAGCCTTGCCGAGCAGAGCGCAGGCACTGTTTGCCGTGGCAGTTTGGCCGTGGAGAGTACGGCTTGCCCCGCAGTGCATTAGCTCTAACTACCCGACGAATAAGCCATGCCAATTGTATGGGCAGCGATCCTTCCAAAGTATGATAGGATCTCGGACATATTTTCTCACTGCGGTACTCTCATTTAGAATTTTCTTATATATCATTCCCTATCCACCCCGCCAGCTTACAACGGCGTGAAGTATTCATACCTGAGATCTCTCCGGCTATTCATCGCGCTAAGTCATCCTCATAACCGAGATCTAAAAAATGCCCACGAATAACCCCAGCTACGACATTGTCATCATCGGCGCCGGATTTTCGGGCGTTAACCTCCTCTACAGTCTCCGCAAACTAGGATACACCTGTCGGATCTACGAGTCGGGCACCGACCTCGGCGGCGTGTGGCACTGGAATACTTACCCAGGTTGCCGAGTCGATACACCGGGCTTCATCTACCAACTATCCATCCCGGAAGTCTCGGAGACCTGGTCATTCACCGAGAAGTATCCCCCTGCGGAAGAGCTAAGGGCGTACTTCACGCATGTAGATCAGGTGCTTGGGATCAAGCAGGACGTGGATTTCGAGATGACTGTGACTGGAGCCTGGTACGATGTCAATGCGGAAGGGAAGAGAAAGTGGAGGATTGAAACTGGCGATGGACGGGTCACACAGTCGCAGTTTCTCATCTCGTGTGTCGGCTTTGCCGCAGAACCATATGTCCCCGAGTTTCAGGGCCTTGAGACGTTCAAAGGAGAGGTGTGCCATTCGGCGTCTTGGCCGAAAGCTGGGATCGATGTGAAGGGGAAGAAGGTTGCAGTAATTGGAACAGGGGCGTCCGGCGTGCAGATTGTGCAGTCCTGGGCCAAGCAAGCAGAATCGCTGGTGGTATTTCAGCGGACGCGGAATTTGGCTCTCCCTATGCGGCAGCACACTTTCCCCGTCACGGGGCTAAATGCGCTCAAGGAGGATGCACCACTCACCTTCGCGCAGCGAGAGAAGACATTCAGCGGGTATCTGGATCAGCCGAGTCCGCACGCAACCTTTGACGTCCCATCGGAGAAACGCGAGGCGCTTTTTGAGGATCTATACAACCGAGGGGGGTTCGCCTTCCTGCTCAGCGGCTATAGCGACCTATTGACGAACGAAAAGGCCAACCGACAGGCTTATGGGTTTTGGGCGAAGAAGACACGAGCGAGGATAGCCGACCCCTCAAGGAGAGATATCCTGGCCCCTCTTGAGCCGCCACTCCCGATCGGTGCCAAAAGATCGTGCTTCGAGCATGATTATTACGAGATGTTCAACAGACCAAATGTGGATTTGGTGAACGTGCGCGAGGCTGGTCACGGTCTTGCAGCTATCAAGCCACACGGGGACGAGATCCAAGACAGTGGATTTTATCCTGTTGACGCAATTGCCTTTGCGACGGGCTTCAACAGCTTCACTGGTAGTTTAACCCGCATTGCTGGGCTTCGCAACACTTACGGTACCTCTCTCGCAGACGAGTGGGGTAACAACGGCGCCAGTGCATACCTGGGCATGACCTGTAAGGGGTATCCCAATATGTTCTTGTGTTATGCTGTGCATGGCCCAACAGCACTGAGCAACGGCCCGGCTTCAATTGAGATGCAGTCCCGGTGGATTGTCGACGCGATCCAAAAGATGAATGCGACTGGGTTGATCTCTATGGAACCGACAAAAGAGGCGGAGAGAAACTGGAAAGCTACGGTGGATGCAATTACGAGCAGTGACGCTGTTCCCCAAGGCGGATTCATGGTGGATTGGGGCAAACATCCCGGACAAGAAGCGGGAGATGTTGGTTTTCCCGGGAGGGCTGCCATTATACGAGGATCTGTGTCGCAAGGCTCTGCAGAACTGGGATGGGTTTATCATCCAATAAGGGCCGCTGTGCACCGGGCGTGCTGAGAATCAAATGTATCTTTGCCTTTGTTGTGGAGGGGCAAATGACGTCTGCACCTATTGGGTAGAAATACATTCTCGCTGGTTCATGGCAGGTGACGCGGTCTAGATAGGTAGGTAGGAATGGACCAGATGGCAAGAGAGCCGTTTGCGGATCTTCACTTGACGGGGGCCAGGCCGGGGAAGAGCCACGTTTTCATCCATGCGCCCGGGAGTTTTCACCTTATTTCATTCTTGGCGTAGATTGACAAATACTACCCATAATGTTGAAGGCATATCCAGACTCCGGGCTTGACCAGAACAGACCTTTCGAGTAAAACCAACGCCCCTCAGATGCTGATTGATCAAGCACCAGACAATTTCGACAATCCATGGTGCTGACTTCGCAGGTTACATGGGAACGAACAGTAAAGGTTTGTGGTGATGTGGTGAGTCTCTGGTGAGCTCCGCTGAAAAGCATGAAAAGCTATTGTGGAACAACGCAAGATTAAGCTGGAGCTATTTGCAGCGACTTATTCTCCACGTGTGCGTTGTGGACCCTTTGCAACACAGCGAGGTCAGCAGCCATATCGGACATTCCTGCATATCACCATGTCGCCCAATTCTGTCTTTGAGCCCTAGGTCGCCAAATTTATTTCAGCTGGGGTGAGTGGTCCCGATGGCCAGCAGAACTACAGTGCTTTCGACTAGAACCGAAAGTTGTTCTACCTTTGTGATGTTGGTAATGTGATACATAGACGGGGATATGCCGGGGGATGCCACCGACTTGTGCCTCCTGACCAAGACTACTCACAAGATAGTCACAAGAAATATTTAGAGGCCGCAGGGGTCGGCAGTATGTTCAAAACAATAACCCCAAAGACGCCATCAACATAAAGAGGAAGGTACCGACAGTGTACTGGGGCTGATATCGAGCTGACATTGGCTGAGGTAATCTCGGAAGCGAACGTTGTCTGGTGGATCCGAGACTAACTCAGTACTGTCCGTCAACCAGACTGGCTCCTTCGGTTATCTCCCGCCGCACTATACGAAGATGGATAATCTACATTCGACATTCTGGCAGTAGAGCAACCGGACTGAGACATTGAGAATGCCAGGGGGAGGGTGTGTTCGTGTCAGGGTGCATTGGTGCTTGTTTCGCGCCTCGTGTCAGCGGATTCGGGGTTCTTGGCACCCTAAAACACCCAATCACCGGGGATGGAACCCCAAGAAGGATTAGCACGGCATCGGGCGAGGTCGTATTAATATCAGAAGTTTCCTGACCTTTCGATCCTCATCTTTGCTGTCCTCGGCTTTCCTCGTCACTTGCTAGTGGCCTAAGCCAATCCTATAAATGGGTCCTCATAAGTTGACATGAAGAAGCGAAACTATTAACTGGCCATCTCAGCTAGTTACTTGTCGCTGCAGCTATGGCCACCGCCTCTCTCTTGTCCTTCTTTTTCCTCGCCGCTGGCTGCTGGGCGCTGCCATCGCAAGGATTGCCAGCGTGTCGAGAGGTCAAAATCCCCATCACTGTGCAGGAGCCGCGGTTCATTATTAACACCACAATCAACAACGATTGGGATGCAGCATCGTTGGTCTTTAATTTGACCCGACGCGACTCTGGCTCATCCACCGACCCTATTCCGATCTCTGGGTCTACAACCAGCCCCGTGGAGAGTAATTATACCATTGGAGGCACGCTCTGCGGCACCGGCGAGACGATTCTGGTTCTCACTCATGGTATCATCGAGTCCAAAGCGTACGTATCACATCTAACGAACAGGAGTGAAGTGCAGTAACAAATGTCTGTGCAGTTACTGGGACCCTACTTTCCCCGGGTCTGACCCATATAACTTCGTCAAGGCCGCAATTGCAGCCGGGTATTCGGTGCTGAACTACGATCGCATCGGCGTCGGTTCCTCATCCCGCGTTGACGGTCTGTTTGATGCTCAGTTCCAAGTGGAGACAGCGGTACTAAACAGTCTGGTGGACTATGCTCGCCGAATGCCGCATGTCACCAAGGTCGGGCTTGTCGGCCACAGCTACGGAAGCTATCTGGCAGCTGCATCGGCCGCCTCAGTCGCCGTGGACGCCCTCGTGCTAACCGGCTTCAGCAGCGCCTTCGACTATTTTGGGTATTTCTTGGCCGGGTCGCATCTGCGCCAGGCGCGGGCCTTGTCGCCCTCTCGGTGGGGCACGCTGGATTCGGCCTACTTGACGGCCGGTGACCAATATGCCGTGGCCTACTACGGCTTCGCTGCTCCCCACTTCGACCCGCAGGTGGCGCAGTGGGCAGCGACGGTAGAAGGAGAGCCCTTCGCGGTGGGGGAGCTCCCCTCACTGCTGGCCTCCCCGATCCAATACTCCCGCATTACTGCCCCCGTCTACCTCGTTCAGGGCCAATTCGATCTGTCCTCTTGTGGCGGCAATTGTAAGGGACAACTGGAGAACAGTCCGGCCACGTTCAACAGTTCGCGGGTGGTAAGCTGGGTGGATAATCTTCCTGCCGGGTGAGTCTCTTCTGTACAGTACACTATCCCGATATGGTTGTCTCTTACTAACCCTAACCCTCCGCAGCCACAACCTCAACCTTCACACGGTCGCACCCCAGGCCTTCCAGTTGATATTCAAATTTCTTCAAGCGCAGGGATTGTGAGGCTAGATAGGAACAGTACAGGCATATGGAGGGACAACATGCATGTAGGTGGGCCTTAAAGCGAGCGCGGGAGTCGGACAATGAAGAATCACATCTACCAAGGAATACCCCACGCGATCTATTTCTTGTGTCTCCGGTATTGCATGCATTACTGTGCCCAGATCGCTCTATCCATTCCCGTAGCCTCGATCTCTACCTTTGGCCACGCCCAAGGGTAATTTTGCACCATCTCCACGGCATTTCTCAAACGGAACCCCTCCGCAAATAGTCCAACGAGCTTGGCTTCTATTTCATGCTCTAGAGCCCTACCCACTTGATCTGAGCCACGCGGATCTGATTTGGCTACAATGCCGAGGAATGAAGGGACAGCGACGCGATAACTTGCAACTCATTGTGCTTGGGGGGGTTTGGCATTATGAGAGTAGCACCGATGTATAAAATAAAACATAGGCCACAGAACAAATGGTTCTAAGAATTTGAGACATAGATATTCTCCTCTCATGTACTCATATGACACATTCCGGATTCTCCTTGCTGTGGCCAATGGAGATGAAAAACAACCCTTTACGCACTTAGAGTGACCTGGTGGTGGCTTTCATCTCCTGAGACACCAGTCGCAGGCTGGCAACACCCTTTACTTCAAGCCGCTCTGCGATGACCAGGAAAGCCTCTGCGGGAATCACCGCGATAGTCCAAGGCTCATGAGGAGTGAGGTTGCGATGCTACGATGTTGAAGTTCACATGTAAATAAAGGCTGAAAACGAGTATGTAACTGGTAGAAGGTAGATATGTTGATAATAGGGCTGGTGGCATTTTCTGGTACGTCCACAGCCATAGCAACCAAGACTAGCATTCCAGCGGCAAGTCCCCTACAAGTCGCAGCTTATCCCGGAGGGGACATTCAAGCACTCCGAGCTGACCTTACCACCCGTGACACTCACGCTGGACCAGCTCCAGTCCGAGCAGGCGCCACTGCCGCACGCAATGTAAACCTCGGTGCAATCGTCGTCCGCACAAGTGCCAATTACGTTCTCGAGGGTGAAATCCGTGATCGGGACGCCAGTGGTTGGGGTCTTAGAGGTATCATCGTAGTTCTGCTCGATGACAATACCGTAGTCTGTGGCATCCGAGAAGGCTATCTCATGATAGGTGATGTCGCTAATGGAACCAGTGTCTCCGTAGATGGCCTTGATACGGATAGCTGAAGGACTAGTTAGCACAGGGCCCGCAGTCTGGAATGCCGAGGGAAGTACCTTGCTGAGACTTGAGAACATTGACGTCGTAGAAGGTGACGTTCTTCACCGTGTTATCATCCCGACCGCCGACGGAGCCAATGGACAGCCCATGGCCACCGGAGCACACACCGGCACTGAAGTAGATGTTCTGCAGGATGGTTAGGATTGGGTCTCTCCATAAAAGGAGGTGGGGAGTGTACCTCGCCAGAGTTGATGGCAACACAGTCATCCTGGTTGTAAACCTTCGCTCCGGTGATTGTAATGTCGGTGCTCTCTCCAATGTCGAAACCATCGGTGTTAGCAGCAAGATCATCCGTATCACCATCGGTGTTGTCAATGGTGATGTCCGTCAAAGTCAAATCGGTCGCACCATCGATACTGAAGACCTGCACCGGGGAGTTCTCGATATAGATGCTCTTGATCGTCGAGGAAGTCAAGTCGTGGGCCGCAAAGAATTTAGGCTTAGTCTTGCCACCGTTACCTCCCTCCCCGTCCCACCAGCGGCTGCCATCGCCGTTCAAAACAGCACCACTTGCGCCCTCGACGGTGATGTCGGTTCCGGACACGGAGACGAGCGGGCCCTCCCATTCTTCGTACCCAAAGGTGGTCTCGCCTTCGAAGATGACCTAATTGACTCCGTCAGCGCAGCCCTTGGTACTTTACGTCGTGCGATTCCTACGTGAGTTCCGTCGTTCAGGTCCTTCAAGTCCAGGGTGGTACCGGAGGGGACAGCCAGGGCGGACAGGTAGATGGTGGAGCAAGCCGTCTTGGACTTGCTCACTTTGGACGCTCCCTCAGAGCCTGAGAAGGTGCAAGTGGTGGCTCTCTTGTGGAGGAGGCTAGCGTCCGGCGCTTCAGTCACCATGGGGTGAGCCGGTTCCGCGGGCGCTGCATGCACTGCCACTGCTGCCAGCAGTCCGCAGGCCAATGCAAGCCGACAAACCATTTTTGTTGGTAGGAAAGAGGAAAAAGAGTGACCGAGGGTGAGCAGGTGTAAAGTGAGACTATGAAGGAGAGTGGATGTTGGTGGATAGATGGGTACAAGGGGTCAGCCTGACTCTATCTTTATACTCTTTTGGACAGCCCGCCAACCCCGACAGCTAATCTCGCTTCGGGGATGGAGGGATGTCCGCGTGGCGGAACCAGGTCCGTCCTGGAACGGCCGCACCGTTGGTGGTGCCGGATTTCGCTGCCAGATGGGGACTAGTTACAGCCTCCACTGCATGGGGAGTTACCGGGATTTCGCTATACTCAGGACCACGCCCAGGCCTTCTGCATACGCACGGCTATATTGACCGCAGTTATGAGTGGGGAATCGACATGACAACAGTCCCCGAGCGAAGCCGGCCATCAACCAGTGCCAAAGATAAGCTGAACCGGCCAAGGCTGGCAAGTTCGGCCGCAAATGCTTAGAATTATCCGGTGGAGCTCCGAGAATGCTTGATTGGGGAGAAGTGGAGATGGCCAGGATCACCGCTCAGGGGAAACCCGAACCTCCAGCTGTTTCAGCCACACTCGAGCAGAGTTGCTGCACCAATCATCGCATCAGGTAACCCCATCTCCCCGAAGCTCCTCGCTACCATAAGATCACCTATAAAGCACTTAAATATACCTGTTACTACCGACGCCCTCATAATGAACCCTGGCATGCGTCCACGGTGGTTGTTGCTCTTCCCTTTCAGGATCGGAATCTTACCCAGTACCAGTTCGGTACCGCTCCGATACCTGCACAATACGCCCTTGTCTAATGCAGGAAATGCAGGGCATTCGACATAAATTATGGAGGAATTGGGCTTGCTTATCTTAGTTACTTGGCAGACCTGACTTGCAAAGTGCCTAACAGTTTGAGAAATTCTCTTATCGATGGGTTGCGCCGTCCGAATATAAGAGCCAGCTGTGATTGGGTCAAAGCGCGGAGGTCCACAGTAGCCAGTCGCGCTGCACAGCCATTTGCGCTAAGCTCTGAAGAATTCTGCTCGTATCGAGGACTTGATAGAATTAACATTCAAAAATCATTGGACAAGAGTTAGTGGAATTCATACTTGATCACACTGATCCACGGTGAAAAGATTCCGTTATTTTGCTGAGGTCTGATCCTAAGGCATTGTTTACTCTAGTTATAAGTGTTTATAAAAATCAACCAGCTGGTGCCCTTGAACAAGACAGGTCACTCAATGGGGGCGAGCCAAGTCATACACGCTAATTTTATTTGCCTCTGAACTTGCTTATTCATGGTGCATTGGAAGCGAGAGGTCGGGGCCTAAGGTTATATGCGGAACTCTTGACAAGACAGCTGTTCGAGCCGCGGTGAGCATGGCAAGAAGTGTGAATTTTGTTGATCCCTTCTGATAGCCACAAGTTCAGAGAGAAATTATGTATGTTGGTTATTGCTAGCTGAGCTGTATGAGGATCCAGAGTATTGGGTCTCGTTATTGTTCTGATAATTTCTACAAATGGAGATCAACACTGTTAATCGGTCCTGTTTAAAAAACAATCTATACATCCCGTTTTGGGAATATACCCAGTGCTAATTACTTCCCGCATGATCTGTACAGACTTACCTGTCCACAGAGCCAAGAAACTTTGAGGAGGTTAAGTCATGTTTCCTACCACAACGGCTGCATGGTCTTGTATAGAATACCTCTATACTAGTGAGTAGGATTCGCCATTCTGCAGCGGAATAAACACCAGATAATATTTACAACTTGGCCTCGATAAGCTCTAATCTGCCAATTAAGTCACATACAACTCAGTTGACGGGCTGCTTGCTCTCGTCGCGCCCTCAACTCTGAGAATAAGAAAGACAATAGTCTGCCAAAGAAGAATTATTAGGGTGTTAAGCTCTAAAATCCCTACAAGAATGAGCGGGGGCCCTTTGGCCCCCCCTACGCGATATGTAGCACTGGGTTCGAGGTAAGTCGGCCGCTTAGTCTATAGTGTAGAGCTTTCTTAATAGATAATAGCAGCAGATATCGCAGAAATAAAATAAAATTATAGAAAGGAAATAAAAATAGAATCACAGACCAAAAGGAAGGATGTTGTCACAGTACCAGCCGAGACCATAAGTGAAAACCAGCTTAGGGTTAGAGCCACTACTGTAAGCAAAGGAGATAAATTTACACCGATAGTAGGAGCACACAGGGTTGACTTCCTACTTAAAGCTTACGGTGAAGGCTTTGCACTAGTTTTGGACTGTTATTTAAGTATGATTATAGTGATGACTTACAACTGTCTAGGCCTCGCCAAAGCCCGCGGGTTTACAGATCGGGTTCAAACCCAATCCGATTCTTAGCGGGTTTTGGGTCGATGGTAGAGTGGCTTAACCTGACTGTTATATCTTAACCTTAACCTGGCCATAACCTAGCGGTCAGGTTAAAATATAAAAAAATTTTAACTGTACAGTTAAAATCAGATTAAAATATAACTATTACTTTAACTACTTATATCTACAGATTAAAAAAATCCAGATATAATAAATAGATTAATAACTATAAGTTAATTTGTAATATATATATTCTTTTTATATAAATAATATAAAAAATATAATATATTTTTAATTACGGTATAGTAATATTCTAACCCAGAGTACCTGGAGTATTAAACTTCAATGCTGCAAAGTAGAACCAAATATATTCTTATAATTAGCTGAACAAATTTTAACTAAAAATTTAATACTATTATTTTTTAAGATTAAATATCTATTTATTTAGTTTATTAAATAGGCTGAGATTAATATAGGTTATGTTTAACTCTAATTTCTATTTAATTAATTTAAAAAAATCCTAAAAAGTTCTTATATTACAGCTGTTATTTGAGGTCGAAGTTTTATAGTTTTGAATAAAATATAAATAACTAGAGTAGCTAACGGCCAGGTCAGGTCAGATTAATTAGAATTTTTATATCTAACTGCTAGATTATAGTCAGATTAAGAAAAGTTTCATATCTAACCGCGGTATAATTAAATATCGGACGGTTAACTATTTTAATTATTCTTAATATTAAAATCTACTTATTATATTTTTTGAGTATTAATATAGTTAAGATATATTTAGATTAACAGATTATTAATCTAATCGTTCTAATTATTATTTAAAAATATATAAAAGAAAGCTTTTTAAATTAAATAAAAATAATTAAATAAAATATTATCATTTTTTTATTTCTATTTTTAAAAAATAATAAGAAATTTCTGATAATACTAATAAATTCCAGCTTTTTATAAAATTATTATTTTTATAATAAGAAATATATATAAAAATATATAATTATAATTTTATTTAAACTGTATATATTATAATATAAATCTTTATAACTAATTTAATTAATTTTTTTAATTTTCATAATTTTATTTATTTTATTCATTTAATTAATCTTTTTAATACTAATAATTTTAATTACTTTATTAATCTAATTAATCTTTTTAATCTTTTTCATTTTAATAATTCTAAATATTTTATTAATCTAAATCTAGTTAAGATTCTATATTATAATATCTATTTAATTTTTTAATAAATATATTTTTTAATAATTATTTAGTTTGATATTAAATATTATATTTTTTATAATAGATTCTGCAAAAGCCTTTTTTAAATATAAGAATAAAATTTTTAATATATTTAATCTAATTAGTTTTAAATATTTATAATTTTAAGTTTTAAATATAGTTTTCTGTTTATTAAATTTATTAAAATAAATAAGATACAGCGGATGTTTTGGCTGTATATTAAAATATATTTTAAAATAAAATAAATTATTTTTAAAAAGTTTTTTATTTTTATCTTTCTGTGTTGACTGTGGAAGGTCGACCAAGGCGAAATTCTGATGGATCATGGATGCTTGTTCATTCTTCTATCTATGCTATATACGATACATCAAAGATCGCCCGAGGCGGCGGGAGGCAAGCGGTCAATAGTAGCAGAGACATGCTACCATTATTAACTGTGGAAGGTCGACTAAGGCGAAATTCTGATAAATTATAGATACTTATTTATTCTTCTATCTATATTATATACAATATATTAAAAATCGCCTGAGGCGGTAAAAAATAATTAATTAATAGTAGCAGAATAGGATTACGGCTAATACTCTCTCCAGCTTATAAGTAAAAATATATATAAAAATAAAATATATAAAAATAAGTAAAAAAAACTTAAGACAGTAATATTATTAAAATGTATAAGATTTCTAAAAATAAATAGATATATATATATAAAAATATAAAATATAATCAGTATAGATATATACAGAAGAAAATATAAATAATTTAAAAAAAATATATATATAATAAAAAATTAATATAAATAATTAATATTCGAATTTATTTAATTGCAGGTATAGATGATTAGATAAAGACTATTCTTTAAAAAATATAATAATAAAAAAATAATTTTTTTGAATAAAAAATTAAATTTTTATAATATTGAAAAATATCTGTATTGTTTTATTCAACAGTATCAATAATTTATATTTTAATTTATAGTAAATTTTAAAAATATCAGCAGAAGGATTTTATATATAAATATTATTAAATAGAATCTTTCTATATTTATTATATAAAAATCTTCTATCTGTTTTAGAAATTTTATTAAGATTAGAAACTGCAGGCAGATTATATATAGTTCTATATATTATGGGACCAAGGCCCTGATATAGAGCTCAGCTTCAGGCACCAGTTGGTGTCTGAGGCCTCGCACGCTACATACTAAACTAGCGCTAGCTTAGTATATACTTAAAAAAATTTTATATAAATAAATAAAATAACTCTTTAATTATTTCTTTTTATTTTAAGATACTTTTCGATTAGTACAATCCATCCGTTCTATAATATTAGAAATGGCTTATTAAAAAGTCCTAGACGGAGCCCGACTAGATATATAAATAGAATAAAATAAAACTAAAAAAATTATTAAAATAATAAAATAAATAAATTAAGAAGAACTGCGGCCG